CACCACCACCTTCTCTTTCGCCGTAATTCACTCTTTCTCGTTATTACAATTTTTTATCATTCTCTCTCACCTTTCACTCGCACCTCCACCATTTTCGACCTAACGGACCTTAAAATATTAATTAAAATAAGAACCCGACTGCTGACTGGTACGACGAATATTTGAAAGGAAAAATTTTGAAAAATTATCGGTAAATATCTAGAAAAGGGGAGCACCCCCCGATAATCTTGACCTTGACATATAGTAGGGGAGGCCAAGCGGGGATTTTGGGATTTACTCGAGCGCGTCAGGAAAACATAAAGGGGAAAAGCTTGCACCCTAATAAGTACCCCCACCAAATATTAAACCTCTATATAGAGCCGGGGGTCCAGGGGATTAGTAAATAAAAAAAATCGATCGTTCGAAAACTCGAGCGCGTCAGATTAAGGTATGGTGTGTTAATTATATATAGAAAAGTGTACATTTCAAAAATCTGACGTGCTCGAGGAAATTTTTTTTTCCCCCCTTTTTTTGACCCCTTCTTACAGCTAACCCCACCATGTAAACCGTCAGATTAATATTTATCCGTTATGAGAAACACATGGGTCGCATACACTATTAATATCTGACACGCTCGAGTATTTCATTGTCACTGTTTTTTTTTGAAAGCCTATACACGCTCCCGCCACCACTGAAACGGCATACATCATATAACCTTTTTTTCTTTTTAGCATCTAATCTTCACAATCCAATAGGTCCCCACGACGCTCGAGTAAATCCACATTTAGCCTCTCGGCCTCCCCTACTAATATGTTGTCAAGGTCATGACCCTGAGTGACTTCCCGCAGGTTTTAGGTGGCGGTCGCTGTCCATTAAAAAGTTATTAACAAAAAAAGTTTCAAAATTAACGTATCATTTCTGCCATATATGTATTATAACAAGTACTATTTTACATCTCCTTCTGTTTAGAAACGTTAAACTTCCCACGCGAAGTAACTCTCACCTCCCCCAACCCCCTGCGAAGGGGCACACGACTTCTACGATTGTACTGTTGCTATGATAGTACTGTCGGGGCAGACCTCTGTGACGATGTGGGTGCGGGGGGGTGGCCGAAGGCCGCCCCCTTGCACCCGCCCGTGTGTGTGTGTGTGTGTAAAATATCAACTAATAGACTCATAATCGTTATATAACACACACACACACACACACACAC